GGTCCATTTCATCGCGCACGAGGAGACGAACCGTCCGAGCCGTCCAACCCGGAAAATCCGACCAAGCCATACCGGGACGAAGAGAATTAAATGATGAGAATTTTGGTCCAAATTTCGTGCGAATCGGAGTTGTGTGTGAAAAGTTAGAGCGAAACGAAGTCACACATGCCCGCACGCAAAGCCTAGCCCGCTGCCCGCGAATTCCGTTTCGCGCCCGCGAAATGGCCCTAACCCGCGAGTTCAAGCATCCAGTGCCCGCGAATTTGAGTTCGCGCCCGCGAATGCTGAGTAACCTGCGAGTTTTGAGCACAGTGCCCGCGAATCTACTTCCGCGCCCGCGAAACGGATGCAACCCGCGAGTTCAGCGCCCGCGTGCGTGAATTTCCTGCCGTGCTCGCGAGTTCCATGCCCCAGCTCACTTCCGCGCGCGCGAGATACTCCACGACCTCGCGAGTGCTGCTCCATGCACGCCGCACGCGCGCGAAATGCCCAGCGAGCTCGCGAGTGTCCCTTGCAGCGCGCCCCATGCGCGAGTCCCATGCCCGCGTGCGCGTGAGATTTTCCACGACCGCGCGAGTGCGCCTGCTGCACCCGCGCCTTGTGCCTAGCTCTCGACCTCGCGGATTTTGCAGCTAGCTCGCGAGTTTTTCAGTAAATGTGCGTGTTTTAGTGTGTGTTTTGTGGTGTAGCTATATAAATACATCTTGCTTTGCATTTTTTGAGAACAACTCTCATTTCCCAACTTTTAAGTTGGGAATTTCCTCTCTATTTTCTTTTTTCCTTTTTATGCTTTGATTTGGAGCTTTATGGATTATGTTTTCCGGCGAATTTTCGGCGACATTGTTTTGAGCAAAGTTTCAAGCTTTTGATTCCGTTTCTTCTCCCGAGTGCATGTTGGAGTGGGTAACTTATTTTTAAGCCCCATTACCTCGTATATCTTTATTGCTTTGGTAAATTGATATTGTGCTTGTGATTTTGGAAGAAAAGATTGTTGCTTTGGATCTTGAATGCTTGACTAAGTGTCCTTAGGAGTTGAATGCTTGCTCGTCTTGTGCTAGAGTTTGGTTTAGCTTCCTAGGGTTTTAGCTAGCATGGCAATGTTCGGTTATTTGCGTGTGTTTGAGCATAGAGACTCCGGCAAACCAAAATCTCTCTTTCCCCCTTGATTTCTCTCATCTTTTCGCGTGCTTTACTTGCTTTCGATTTCAATTTCGTAGAGTAGCTTAGTTTAATTCAAATCCCCAATTTGCGAGTAGAATGTTTAGGACCTTTTCGGTTGTGTGACTTAGACGATCGACTAGGTAGTGAACGAAGCTCCGAATAGCCTTCCTTTGAGAACGACCCGAGTCGGGTAGCTCGGTTACCACATGCCCAAAAATATACTCAACAGGAGGTCAGCTTGTGAAGAAGAAAGCCAGCTTGAAGTAGAGCTGGCAAGGGTCGGCCGGGCCCGGATCTACGGGTCTTGGAACCGGACCCGTGGTAAAACCGGCCTGATTCGAGTCTTATTTTTGTTTGTTCGACCCACCGATTCCGGTTTGCTTTCTGGTTTGAAAACGGGTTGGAGTTGTTTTTTTTTTAAAAGAAAAAAAAACGGCTGTTCGATGCGGTTCGGGCCGGTCCTTAGATGTAGTGGGGCCGGGCTGGGTCGTGAACCGGCCCTGCTGATGGCCATAATAGGGTTATTATTAGGATCTATCTTATTGGACACCAATGTTCTCCGGGTCCGGGTCATTGTTTTCGAGCCCGGTGACCCGGCGGGACGACTCTGGCCCGGGTTTTGGCCATGTCTAAATAAGATGTTAACCTCAAGTTGACTGTGTTCTGAAGCAACTAGATTCTAAAATGCATCTAAATAACATTTGAAGATTAACAACAAAAAACTTGAGGGACAACTAGCAACACATTATTGGGCTCAAAATTCGCAACTCACCCACATATACTACAAAACATCCAAAATATTGTGTGTCGTCCAACATATAATAATGCGTGTGTCTTTTATTTTTGTCCCAAACACAAAAACCTACTCGAGCTTCATTTCACCTCAAATAAGAATGCTATACATGACTCGTATTATCACCCATAACTAAAAAGGTACAAATGATAACACTAGAGCTCGCTTCCAAGCGGAGGACAACTCTTTTATATATTTTTCCGGTAGTAATTCTAAGTACTATTGCATGTAACGTAGGCTTGGTGGTTCTCGAACCATCAATGATTGGTGAACCGAACTGAACGGTGCGAGCGGAAAGAGCTCTGTCTTGGCTACTAGCTATAGCGGTTCTCTGTCTGCTGCCGGTTGTCTCGGCTCTTTTCTCTTGGGTTGGTTGATTACTTAGCAG